TACAAACTTTGATGACGCCAATACCTCTGTATAAAACGGCTATTATAAAACCCGATTGATTTCAAATAATAACTCATTATGTCCCGCCGCTGACTGATGGCCCTTCACTCATTCTCGATATGATCAGGATCGAAGGGCGAGAAGGTTTTAAATGCTTTTTATAATCCCAACTTTTTTCCCTCTGGAAAGATGGCTGCCATTTAATATTTTAATTAGTCAAAATTGGTACTGACAGCGTAATTAATGGGAACATTGCCGGGACCCTGAAACTTGGAAATGATACTTCTTGCTATCAGATATTAATAGTTAAGGATAGCACTTATTAAAATATGTGTAATAGAAGTAAAATAAATTATAAATGTTAGCAGTAATTTCAGTAGCAAAAGTGTTTCGGGCTGATATTCCTTGTATTTTCTTGCGAACCTTGCCAATGCGCGGGTAGAGTTCTTAGAGATATTAGTTGTGCTAAATAAAGGAAATTTGGTGCAAATTGGTGTCAGAAGTGGGATTGGCAGTCCACTTCGTTGGCGTGCGTTCGAATCCCACTTCTGACACCAATTCAACCCAAATCTTTAGCACATTTTAATACACAATAATAGTTCTTCTCTGGTTTTGGTAACGCCTTGCGGAAGTATGTTGTAATTATTTCTTCTCTATCCTGAATATGTGATACGACACATCCGATCCTAGTGTTGCTAGCATTCCTCACCAGGTTGTGGATAGACTAGTATCGGTGGTAAACAAAGAGCTTCTTGGAGGATTTCAAAAGTCTGCTGATATTTTGGAATCCAATAGTAGAGTTGGTCATTTTCATTAAGTTGGTGTAATGGTCTAGCAACATCTGCGAATCCCCAAACAAATCTCTTGCAAAGAAGCACAAACCAAGCAAGCGTCTTAATAGATGTTTGTCCTTTGGAATAGGCCAGTGTCGTACAGCTTCAGTGTCTCTTTGAATGGAACTGCGCTTGGGTGCTTTCTATTTTAGATTAGCTCATTTTATCTTCTTTAAAACTTCCTCGATGTTCCTCGTGTGGTCTTGCCCAATATAACGACGTATACAAGACAAGTCTTCCAGGCACATCCTTATAATACAGCCTTCATGAGTCTCTCAAAATTGGCTGGAGCATTGCAGAGGCCAAACGGCATGACAGTAAATTCCTTCAAGCCTGTTGCCGTACAGTGTTTTAGAAAGTTAGAAACAATATCTTTTCACTGTACTAGTTATATAAATTTTCTCTAGGGTATATAGACTATTTAGAAACTGACAGTACATTCAGATATGGGTGTCTACGTTTTCTGTGATCTTTCACTGCGAAAAATTGTCCTTATTCACGCCATCTAAACAGATTTTTACTGCCGCTTTTCGTTTGTCGGTTATGGGACTGAGACGCGAACTTTGGGACACCTTGTACATATTTATCACAAATAGTCAAATTGACAATTATTAAGTTAATAAAATTAAATTGTTAAAAAAAATTGAGAATCAGTTTAGTATTTATAAATCAGTACATATTTTTACAAAAAAAGACATCGCATTGGCTATGTCAAACTTCCTGGTAGCAATTAACAATTCTAGATATTTACTATTTGATAATTTAATTCTTCCTAATCGAAAGTGTACAACGACAGCGCGCCACGTACCTTGTTTTCATTCCTGTTATACAACAACGCAGAGTGACACCTAGTAGCTTCTCTCCTTCAAATAAAGCTCCATAGAAGGTGAAAGAATAGAATTTGGTGCGAAGTGTATTGGTCCATCATGGTTGTCATTAACATTCCGCGTGAGGAAAAACCAAAAGAAGAAAACGTGGTCGATGCCGATTCCGTTAAGGAGCCAGATTTTGCGTTTAACCTCCTCGCCGACCAATTCGGTGAGTGCATCAACTGCTATGGGGATGAAACTGAAGCGACTTGGATGGAACCCTTCACCCTTGCTTTCGTGGTGGTCGTGGGTGTTTTCATATATTTTGGTGTTTGGATGCAGTTGCCATTATTTTAATCCGCTTACACCGGTGAGATATATAGTGCGTGCATAAATTCAGTCAGCAATGGAACAAGTACAGCTTATTTCATTTTTTTATATTTTCGCCCTTCTTTCTATTACAAACAATTTATTTAAACGCATGTTTGTCTTGCTTCTTGTCATAATTGGTTATAAACTGTATTCTTATGAAAAATAAACGTTAATAAGTTTAGTTTGTATATTATTTCATTAGCAGAACATTTGCGAAATGTGTTAAAAATGTGTAGAATGTTATTTTAATATTTTTAATGTTTTTAAACCTGTACAAAAAGTATTCCATTTATCAAATTTATAAAAAATGGTTTTAATAAAAGTTGCCTGGAATCATGTGGGTCGTGTAAAGGAAATATTTTTAGCTTTGCAGACTGTGGCGCTACATAACTTTGTTTTTTTAAATGGAACGCCCTGTATATTATTGCGTTTTTGAATCCTTGGTTAATATTAGGTAGAATTTATTAAATGTACATGGTGTTTAAAACTTACCGTTTACTTTTTATTAAAACCATTTTTTTATAAATTTTACAGTAACAGAAGAATCCCTCTTACGTGGAACACCCTGTATGTACAATGTGCCCATGGTGGAGTATATTTTTTGAGATACTATGAATTCTTTTTCGCATTAGTGCGTAAGGTACATAGTATTGGTGCGTAAAGTACATAGTACTTTTACGCACTGATGCGTAAAATAAATTATTTATAAATTATTGTATAGGCAATCCAGTCAAAATATTTTTATCAAAATAGTACTTACCTATTTTTAAATAATATCTAGGATCGTGTGTATAAGATGTACTTTACGCACTACTGTTGTATAATTTTATAAAAATAAAGAATTTTCATTTGTTATTTTCATTCCGATTCAGACTACGTTCCTGCAATCTTTCAGAAAATATAACCTGCCTTAAAAGTGCATTATTTTCAAAGTGGTGCCTTAAATAATACAGAATTTTATGCACTATTTGCCTTCGTTCCAACTGCGGTCTATTTAAACTGAATAATACTGAAATGTTTTAGATTTCCACTGCGGTAGGTGTAATTTTATTTCACTACTTTTTCTTCTTAAATTACTACGTTTTATATTTTGTTTGTGTGATCTTTTGGTAAATGTGGAAGTATTTTACGCTAACTACTCCATGTACCACAAACTAATCTAATACTTGTTTTTGATATTTTGAAACAAATCAGGAAAATTTACACTAACAAAATTTACAAATCTTACATTTACAAAAACATTCAATGTCCATTGCTTATCACTACTAGTTAATATTTAAACTGAAACAAAAAACAGGCGATTGACAAGTGGAAAATATGATTAACACCAAATAATAATAGTTTAAATATTTCTTCAGGAGAAACGCATCAGTGTATTTCAAAGAAAAATGCAATACATAATTATGTTTACAAATTGTAAAACTCGTGCTCCCGAGTAACATCGATTGAAATTTTTGCGATAAGAGTTTTTTATATTAGTAAAGCTTTTGGTATTCATAATATAAATATACATAGTTATGTATAAATACTATAATCAGGTATGGCAAATTAGTTAGCAAAATAGTTCGACGAAAGTTTATTTAGAACATTAATATACAGAGTGTTCCATAATTCTACCGACACAGAGCAGGCATGTGTAGGGGACCTTAAGATATGCCGATTTGTTACGTAACATTTTTTTTTGGGATACACCGTTGAAGATTGGCCTCTGAAGATGTGTTAAATTTTGAAAAACAGTAATATTTCAGCAATGCCTTAACATAAAGCAACCAAATTTGGTAAACAAAGGAATTCAAAAACGCAACAATATACAGGGTGTTCCATTTAAAATAACAAATTTATGTAGCACCCACGCGAAATGGAACACCCTGTAAAGCTAAAAATATTTTCTTTCCAAGGCCCATATGATTCCAGACAACTTTTATTAAAACCATTTTCTTATAAATTTTACGGTTACAGAGTTACAGAAGAATCCCTCTTAGGTGGAACATCCTCTGCATATACATACCGGGTGTTCAAAAAGTTTGGAACCCCCCCCCTCTATCTCAGAAAATACTGCTCAAACAAAAAGATTAGGACAAAAGTTGCAGGGTTTTAATTGATCAATTCAACGGTGACCTTGACCATGATTTTCAAGGTCATTTAGAGGTCAACCTGAAAATTTTAAATGGAACCGCATATTTTTGAACCCGGGAAATGGAAAACTTGGAAATTTTTACGTTCGGAATGTCCTTGACCATGACCTTCAAGGTCATTTAGAGGTCAAGTTGGAAATTTTAAATGGAACCGTATACTTTTTTGCCGTTATTTTTTTTCGTAAGAGCATTATTAATCCCAAGTCCTTTGCTTACGTTTGACCTTTAGGTCATGGTCAAAGACATGGTATAGGTCATTTTTTAATTTTACGCTCACTCAATTTCCGCAGTCAAGAATATCGGGTCATTTATTGAAAATCGACTCGACTTGTAAACGACCTTGAAGGTCATGGTCAAGGTCATATCCGAACGTAAAAATTTCCATTTTCTCCATTTTCGGAGTCAAAAATATACGGTTCCATGTAAAATTTTCAGGTTAAGCTCTAAATGACTTCGAAGGTCATGGTCAAGGTCACCGTTGGATTGCTCACTCAAAACCCTGCAACCTTTGTTCTAATCATTTTTTGTTTGAGTAGTATTTTCTGAGATAGAGGAGAGTTCCAAACTTTTTGAGCACCCGGTATATTCATAAAAATAACATTTGATCATTAATTTCTTAACTTTTTTTATAGGTGGCAAGATAACCAATAAATAAAAAATCCTTCTGTATGACACAAAAACGGTCACCACATCAAATATTTGTTGTCTACATTTTTTTTAATACCGCCCCTCAAACTTAGGGGTTTATAACTTCAAACACTATAGCGGCAATTACCGCCGTTGTGTCTGTTATTATCCATTAGTAAATTAGCAGTCAGCAGGATTCAAGAGCACAATGAATTTTGTTTCAGTGAACGTGTACGACGGGGAACAATTGAATCTCACCCGCATCAGCCGTACGGAAATGGGAGCCTATCTTTGCATAGCCACAAACGGTGTCCCCCCATCTGTTAGCAAGCGTATCATAGTAGACGTTGAATGTAAGTAAATGTTGCATGGTTCCTCAATAACTCACAATTTACAGATATTGCCGATGTTCCAATACCGGCGGTGTCGCGTGCGCAACGGGAGGGCACGCCCGCAACGTCTTAGAAATGATTCATCTCGAAATACAAAAAAACTCTTGTTAAAAGAGATTTTTTGCAACCCTACGTAGAACGCTAATTTTGCGGACGCTGTATAGTGCGTAGAATGTAATATATAGCTCTAGAGCGAGTGATGGTCTGTAAGAGACTGAAACTAATACAGTGTTTTCGCAACCTGGAAAGTTTTTAAATTCTCTCTTGGAAATATCTGGGAATTTTTGGTTCAAATTTGGTATATGCCCTATCTTGATGATTCAGTTTCTAATAGCGGAAAACGGTCTAGTGATTTTTTTTATTTAAATAATTTCTGAAAGTTATTTGTTATAAAATAATAATAATACTGTTACCGTCCGATAAAAATCCATTTACAGGGCGAAAGTTAAAATAAAGTTACGTATACAGTATAGAGTAACAACAAAAAAAATATGTATACAGGGTGTCTCGCGGTGACGGCCCATTAGAATTATTTCAGAGGCTACTTCGATTTGAATTTTGAAAATTTGGGGTACCGAGTTTTCAGGCTTGTTATTTTAGGTGGACTTTTACGAAGTTTCCCTATTCCTAAAATTAACCGTTTTCGATATTTCATTTTTTTTCAAAAAAATGGAGAGAAACAGTGACTAACTTCAAACCATGTGTATTTTATAGTCAGAAAGATAAAGCAACAATATTTATAGGGGGGATAACTAGACCCCTAAGCTTTCCATCCATACTTTCAAAGTGGCTTAATTGCATACAGGGTGTTAGAAATTTAATGCCGAGTTTAGTTAACTTCAAACCTTCATAAGTCGGTTCTTTAAAATGGAACACCCTGTAAAATTGTGTATCAGAATATAGAAAAACATACAGGGCGTTCCATTTAAAAAAAAACGACTTATGAAGGTTTGAAGTTAGCTAAACACGGCATTAAATTTCTAGCACCCTGTATAACCCTTAGCTAGACCCTTAGGGGTCTAGCTATCCCCCCTATAAATATTGTTGCTTTACCTTTCTTACTATAAAATACACATGGTTTGAAGCTAGTCACTGTTTTTCTCCATTTTTTCGAAAAAAATTAAAGCGACCTAAAATAACACGTAGAATCCAAAATTGCAATAATATACATATAGGGTGTATTTAAAATAAGCAAGTTAGTGACGACTTCCGGTATAACCGGAAGTGGTACGTTGACGCCATTATTTTAGTTGAGAAGGGTATGCCCGAAAACTCGGTATCCCAAATTTTCAAAATTCAAATCGAAGTAGTCTCTGAAATAATTCTAATTGGCCGTCACCGTGAGACACCCTGTATATTTTATATTAGCAAACGTAGTGTCTGGAACCCTTTATATCCTAGATTTTAAAAAAGATTTTTAAAGTTTTCCTTTTTTCCAATTTTTACGGGGAAAGAAAACCAGTTCTTTCGGCGACCAATTTTTTCCGAAATTTTGAACTTTGAGGCTTAGCTAAAATCAACATCACACACATATCTTTAACAGCAAACTGGCAATTCCAGATTATAATCGAGGTCCCTGCGCTCTTGCAGCACCCGAACCGAGCTAGGAAGGCCGTGAAAAATAATATTTAAATTTTTAAGTTTGAATTGCTCTCGGTAATCACGGGCGTAGTTCAGCTGAGTGTGGAGCACTCACCAGTGACTCATAACTGAGTAATGCTCTCTCTGTGGCCATTACAAGTTTTTCTTCTATATTGTACTAACAACTTTCGCGAAGTTAAGAGAACAAACTACCGGTCTTAGTTTTAGTGTGGCGTGAGGGTAAATAACAACACAAAAGGTGCATTAAAAGTGAACGGGGTTACAAATTTGAAAACGCTTCAAATTAATGAACACCGTTACGCGTTTGAGGGCGCCCCTGGCTGTAACAGACGTGTTGTGCGATTTGATGGCAATATACAGGGTTAGTCAAAAGTATGGAAACCCCCAAAAATCTCAGCGGGAAAGCAGTTCCGGGATAAATAGTGAGGGCGAAAATCAGCATTTTTCACGGCGTATCCGATGGTAGCCTTCACCTTGAGGTCAAGGTCAAGGTTCAAGGTCATATCAAGATCAAGTCGTTTTTTTAAATGGCGACCCACTTTTGCGACCTCGGAAATGGAAGAGCAGAAAAATTCTGCATCTGAATATGACATTGACCGTGACCTCAAGGTCAATGGTCAAGGTCAGTTCGAGGTCAAATGTTGATTTTTACTGTATTTCTTTATTTTTAACTACGGAATCAGAGAGAGTGACAGTCTCTGAGTAGATTCTGCATCCGAATATGACATTGGCCGTGACCTCAAGGTCAATGGTCAAGGTCAGTTCGAGGTCAAATGTTGATTTTTACTGTAATTTTTAATTTTTAACTACGGAATCAGAGGGATTGACAGTCTCTGAGTAGATACCTGATGGTACTCCTTAGTGACCTTGATATTGAGATCAAGGTCGAAAGAATATGTCAAGGTAATATCGGTTTTTGGAGCTGCGATCTCTGATTTCGACGCTAGAAATAAGAGAACGTAGAGTTCTACATTTTATTATGATTTTAAACGTGATCTCAAACGTCAATGGTCAAGGTCAGGTAGAGGTCAAGTGATTATTCCGGCTCATTTTTTATTTTCGACGATGGAGAGGGACTCACAATTTAGTGAAGTTGAATGAAATATTTAATTTTAATCTTTAACTTGTTTCAAAGGTTTTTTTTTATAAAAAATTACAGTCTAGCTGTTGCTGCCCTTGTAGTAACTGTTTTTGCTGTACGACGACATCTATTTTAAAGGTATTAAACTAATTCGAGCAAATTAAAAAATACAATGTTTTAGAATTATGTTTTCTGATTATTGAATCTTGAATCGACTTTAGTACCTTTAAAATAGAATATACAATACGAGAGGTAATAATACAATATATTTTTTTTTTAAAACCAATTTGGTGAAAGGGGCAAGTATTATTTGGCAAAAAACAGTTCACATAACCTAGTCTAGTCTAAAATGTTTATGAGTGCAGCAAATTTCAATAAATTGCGTCTTACGGTTCCTGTTATACAATGTTCATATTTCTACTGAGGCTACCTTTGACCTTTAGACAGTGGCGGCTCGTCATATGAAGCAACTGCCGCTCGGCTTTTCCATGAGTCCCCACCACAGTGAGGCCAGAATTTGTTTGCTTGTAGGCGCGTCACACTTGCCTACGATACACTACAGTTCCCCCTCCACGCGAGACGGTTAAAATAACGTGATTTAGGAGGAAACCGAGGCCGGCTCAAAGCTGCGTATAGTTTCAGTGTTTCAGTTCGCGGTTAATGTACGCGTCGCATAGTACGCGGATAGTGTCTGATGTCAGCCACGAGCCTCACTTATTCACAATGTCACGAACTGCCACTGCCTTTAGAAACAACGTTCTTAAATCTCTTACCACGCTGTATTTTCAGAAAATAGGAAGAACTCCAAAAAAAAAATGTCGGAACTGGTCCGCCCCGTAGAAAGAGCTAAATTTAAAGGTGAAATAGCCTCCTTTGTCTTTCCTAACTCCAAGCATTTTAGCCGTTGGAATCGAGCAATCCAAAAAAGACGGTCGCGTCCCACTTTAGTGGAATATTTTAGACGCTAGTTCCTTTGATCAGATTATTATGTAAGTACATTGAGTTAATTTGAATGAATTTGTTCGTTACACTCAAACAGTCTTGGAATATCTATTAAAAACTCCACTCTCGAGTTTGTTAAGTTTCACAGTAAGACGCAGTCGAACGAGAGACATTTTGCGGAGCCTTCATTCGTAAAATTTAACACTGTTTTTAATAAAATTGCAATGGCTTAAGTAAGGTAGAGGTACAGGAAGGCCGATGAACCATGGGGACTTTCCCACCCTGTATATATAATAATATATATTTTAAGGAACTGGTAGTTTTGAAACAAATATGTTTGCAGTTTATGGTGAACTGTAAGAGATATTGTAGCTAAAGTCCGAGATAATAAATTTCAAAACTATAAAAGATTTGAATTAAATTATATTTACAAATACTATAAATTCTAAGAAAAATTATAGATTGCAGCAAATATTTCACATAGCTTGACGAAAGTATATACATTTGAATTGAATAAAATAACATTTACGTCAAATAATTCCATTTAAAACAATCTGCTCGTTTGATCCAAATACTTTTTTTTTCAGTGTATTATAGCTCCAAATTTATTAATTTAATAGACATGGCTGGAAGTAGACATTTTTAAATTTCTTTATATATAGCTTTTTAGTTTTGTTCGTTGTATTTTTTTTATGATGATGTTAAATACATTTCACTTTTCTCTTTCAAGCTTTACCGCTTCAGAAAAATCCAGTCCAACAAAATCGTTTCGGAAACTTGACATTTTATTACAGCTCCATCACGGCTAGAATCATGAAAATGTTTAATAAATTATGAATTTAATAGAGCTGTCTCGAACGAGACATTTTTTAATTTCTTTAGATAAAGCAACCCTTATTACCATTGTAATACTTTTAGTTTTGTTCGATGTATTTTTTTTTCAAAAGATGGCAAATATTCCCAATTATACAATTTTTTCCGACAACATTTTTATTTCGAATTTTTTTTTTATTAAAAACCAATAATTACGACTTGTGGAGACTACTTTACAGTTTTCAAAACCTTACTTGGATTTTCTGTACGATCATTATTTCCCATGTAATTGATTGTCAAAGTCATCGTACAGCGCTTCAGAACGGCTCAAATTGAAGGGAATTAAATTTATCTAAAAGAGCCTTACGGTGAAAATACCAAAAAAAAAATATTTAAGTCTATAGACAACCAAAAATTTGAATTCTTTCTACCACCATTTCTCTTCAAGTTACGGCTCTTTGAAAATCACTCAAAAATTTGAAATTTTTTTAATATCCATTAATTTTTGTGACCAGTGTATATT